GGGGGGGTTGGCAAGTGTTTTACAGCGCTCACAACTGCATAAGTTCTTATGAGCGCGCGGGACACATTAAACCTTTTGAGTTGGTAGGAAATTTTGAATTTTGCCCGCGATGCGGCCAAAGCCTACTCTTATCGATTTTAGACCACCAAGGGATCTTTAACGTAGTGCGCAACTTGCACAGGGGGATATAACGGTGGCTGTTCTCAGGAGGTATGTAGAACATCAGTTTGTATGTATTGTAGAGGGTTTTGTAACTCTTTGGAAGATTAGAATAATACACGTGTCACGACATGGTGGAATCAGGCGATCGTCAAATTTTTACCATGTGGAGTTATTTGTATCACCAGAAAGCTTTTTCATTTCGTTGTTTTCAGTGAACAAAATATACACCTATCTTAAATAGAAGTCTAGATATTTGGGATTGAAGGAGGTGGGGGTCACTTGGTTTCAGTTAAAATTAGGGAGAAAATGGCCACCAAAGTTTGGTAACTTCTGTAGCTTGAGAGTCCTTGGAAAATGAAAATTTACATACTTTGTGCCTTTATTCAATGTTTTTGAATAAAATTCACTTGGAAACGAGTTTTTATATGGGCATGAAAGGTGTTGAGCCCCCCCCCCCAATTGATAAAAATGGACAAACTGTCAAAAAAGTGCCCGTTTCTTATCCCCATGATATTTAATACGACATTTTCCACTGATTAAACCCTGAAATATACTGTGCAAAATACTGTATCTTGTATACCCTCTGGTAAACCAAACCATCCATATCAGCTTGTAGTATTTAATCTAAACTTTCGCTGTAATATTTCCCTGTGATTTTCCCCCTGGGATATCCTTGTGATATTTGCCTGTGGTGTTCCCTGTGATATATACCTGTGATATTTCCCTGTGATATATACCTGTGATATTTCCCTGTGATATATACCTGTGATATTTCCCTGTGATATTTGCTTGTGATATTACTCTGTGATCTTTAATGTGATGTTGTCCTGTGATATTTCTCTGTGATATTGTGGGTGGTTGGCGGGTGCTCTGGTGTGGTTTGCTTCTTCTTTCCCATCAATCATTTGTCGGCCTTATCCCGCCTTCTTCTTTTTTATGTGTGTTTCTCTCTTGTTAACAATCTAATCTTCTGGCTCTCATATGAACTTATGCAGTTGCGGGCACCGTAAAACCTCTGCAACAGCTAAAAAAACACCCCTAGACGCTCATAAAACCTTATGCCGATGCAAGCTCGGTAAAACCTCTACTTTATCCCCCAGGGGCAGTGCCACCGACTGAAGTGTCTTTAGGCCATTCCCAAAGGAGGGACATTTCTCGTTCGAGCACAGTAGAATTGTAAATGGGCTGATTCATCATGTCATGCTCATAACTGTGCCTGATCTGCAACAGGGAACTGCTGCTTGTTCTTTCCTAATCCTTACTATTGTCATTTTCCTCTACTTCTTTTGTATATTTGTCACACTCTTGTCTGCTATTTCTGGGGTGCCTTGATAGTCGAAGCAGACCTTGTGCTGTTGAAGCTAGAGAGGTGAGCAGAGTAAGTCTGATTCCCTGTAAAGACTTCTTTGTTGACATCCACCCCTTGGCGCTCATATGACTTTATGCAGTTGCGAGCGCCGTAAAACCCTCTACTATAAATAAATTATTTTAAAAAACAACCTCTATTACAACTAAAACTCTGTGATGTCTCCCTGTGATACCTCCCTGTTTTGTCTGCAGCAAACCTAAAGAGGGTGTGACCAAGATTGTGATCGCCACCAACATTGCTGAGACCTCCATCACCATCGATGACGTCGTGTTTGTCGTTGACGCGGGCAGAATGAAGGAGAAAAGGTAACATGAGAGCAAGATAGTTTTGTAAAGGTAACATGAGAGCAAGATAGTTTTGAAAAGGTAACATGAGAGCAAGATAGTTTTGAAAAGGTAACATGAGAGCTAGATAGTTTTGAAAAGGTAACATGAGAGCTAGATAGTTTTGAAAAGGTAACATGAGAACAAGATAGTTTTGAAAAGGTAACATGAGAGCAAGATAGTTTTGAAAAGGTAACATGAGAGCAAGATAGTTTTGAAAAGGTAACATGAGAGCAAGATAGTTTTGAAAAGGTAACATGAGAACAAAATAGATTTTGTTAGTAAGATGAAGGAGAACAACGAAGAGAACAACATAGAAAAGGTAACATGAGAGCAAGATAGTTTTGTAAAGGTAACTTGAGAGTGAGATAGTGCTGGTAAAATGAAGAAAAGATAAATTATGATAAGAATGATAAGCTGAGGGAGAAAAGGTAAACAAATGGTGAGATTATTTTGCTGGTGAAATGAAGGAGAAAAGGTATGATGACGGAGTGATTATAGTTTCAGAATAAAGAGGAAAAAATGGGAAATGATAAAGTAATAGTTATGCAAGCGAACAAAGGAGAAAAGAGAAATGATGGAGTAGTTACATTACCCCACCAGTCACCATCCCCTGCATTTCACCATCCCACCTTTTTACTTTATCATCACGAAACCTTGCCATCCAACCATACCACCATTCTACCATCTCATTACCCCACCACCTCACCACCCCAAAATCTCACCATCTCACCATTTCATTACCCCACCTTCCCATCACCCCACCATCCCATAATTCCACCATCTCATTTCCCATAATTCCACCATCTCATTACCCTACTTTCTCACCACCCACCATCCCATAATCCCACCTTCCCATCACCCCACCATCCCACCTTCCCACCACCCCAGCCATCACCATTTCCTTTATCTCATTACCGCACCACCCCTCCATCCCATTGTCTCATTACCTCACATTCCCAACATCCCACAATCCCCCCATCTCACCATCTCACCATCCCACCACCCCACCACCCCACAATCCCACCACACCACCATTCCTTTATCTCATTACCCCACCATCTCACCATCCCACAATCCCACAATCCCACCTACCCACCACCCCATCACACCACCATTCCTTTATCTCATTACCCCACTTTCCCCCCACCCCACAATCCCACCACCCCACCACCCCACCAGGTACGACCAGGCCAAGAGCATGGAAAGCCTGGAGACGGTGTGGGTGTCGCGGGCCAACGCCCTCCAGAGGCGCGGCCGAGCGGGCAGGGTCAAGGAGGGGGTCAGCTTCCACTTGTTCACCTCACACCACTACAACTTCTTCCTGAGGGATCAGCCCATTCCTGGTGCGTTCGCCGTCTGTCTTGTTTGTATGCATGTCTGTTTGTCTTGTATGTCTGTCTTGTGCGTCTTATATGTCTGTCTGTCTGTTTTGTATGCATGTTTGTCTTTCTTGTATGTCTTATATGTCTGTCTGTTTGTCTTGCATGTTTGTTTGTCTTGTATGTCTTATATGTCTGTCTGTATGTGCATGTATTTGTGTTTGTTTGTGTGTTTTGTGTGTGTGTGTGCTTTGTGCATGTGTATGTGTGTGTATACATACTTTGTGTGTATGTGATTGTATGTGTGTGTATACATACTTTGTGTGTATGTGATTGTATGTGTGTGTATACATACTTTGTGTGTATGTGATTTTATGTGTGTGTATACATACTTTGTGTGTATGTGATTGTATGTGTGTG